CGGCTCCAGCCAAGGCACAGCCGCATCGCCCGGACGGCGGCTGCTGCGGCATCTTCCCGGAGCCACCGGCAGCAGTGGGACGGCATTTTTAGCCGGTGAGGCCCACGCTGGCTGCGGGGTTTCATGGCACATATCCCCACCCCGCTCCGGACGAGCCACTCGCCAAGTCCCTCTTGTGAAACCACCCTCCAGGCTCTGCTGCCTTGGTTTCACCGTGCCGCAGGTGCCGGCACCCTCCTGCCTGTCGATCCCCAAAATACCCGGGGGGTAGAACGTTTCCCTCCTGCGCTGCAGGAGTTCGCATATGCCAAGCACGGATCCAGCCGTGGCGTGAGGACAGGGCTGACTAATCCGAACTCCTCCTGCTCCCCGGAGCCAAGCGCGGCGGTGACAGATGGGTGCTGGGAGCGACGGGGGGTGGCAGTGGGGAACAACCCGAATGGGAGCAGTGCCGGAACGCCTGGCCCTCGTCTGGATGGATTCTGTTATGGACCAGAGCGGGGGGATGCTGCTCCCCCAGGTTGGCGGGCAGGACCTCCAGCTCCCACGGGCTGCCTGGGAATGGGTAAGAGGGGGTTTGGAGGAACAGTTTAATCCCTGGTTTAATTCCCATCTTTGGTAAGGGCACCAGGGGTCAGAGGAAGCTCTCTCCCTGCCCTGCTAGGTGGGCAGCACTGCTCCGACTCCGAGCAGGAACATCGCTGCTTTGCATTCCTCCTGCTCTGGCAAACCAGGAGCCGGAGGAACTTGTCCAGCCTCTGCCGGGACAGAGCCCCCCGGAGCGTGGGGACCAGGACACACAGGAGAGAACTCTGCCCCATCCACCTACAGCCGGCTCTTCTACACAGCACCCATGGGAGACGTGCCCCCTTGCCAGGGGATGGACAGCTTGGGGTGCAGCACCCTGCCTTTCCAGCCTGGGAGCGCACCCATCTCCCAGGGCACCTCACCCGTGGGTCACCCACTGGTGTATCCCCCCCTCTCCGCCCCCTGAGCCACAGGGGCTGCACCGGATGTGCCTTTCAGAGTATTATCCTGCTCTTCTGGCAATGGCTCCCAACGGAGCACCCATGGGGCGATGGGGCAGCTGGGACCGGCAGCTCCGGCGAGGCCGACTCACCTTGGCGTGGTAGGTGATGGCGCTCTTGGCCACCGCGCACTGTTTCTCTACCAGGAAGCAGAACCGTCTCCTCTCTTCCGTGAGAGCTGTCTTATAGCCGTCGGAGACGTAGTTTTCCAGCTCGCCTTGCTTGTTGCTGATGGCTTCGATGTACTAGAAGGGAAAGAAGAGCAGAGAGGTGGCTGCCTTCGCCT